TTTTTATCTTTGGGGTACACATTGATATAAATTTCTATCTTTGAGGGTGCAAATTGAGATTTTTGATCTTTGGGGGTGCACATTGATACAAATTTCTATCTTTGAGGGTGTAAATTGAGATTTTTGATCTTTGAGGGTGTAAATTGAGATTCGAACAATCTTTCGGAATATAAAATGAGATTAACCCTAATCTATATGAGCTAATTGGGCAACTCGCATGTGCCTGTGCATGTCAAAGTGCACATCCTATTGAAAATGTGACCCATGATGTATCCAGTTACGTCTATATGCATACTAATGAATGAGACAACGGCTGTGGAAGGCTAAAAGTCTGGTTACGGTGTTTTTAAAGTAAAGTAAAATTTGGGTTACATAGTATTTTTTTAAAGGTAATTGAACTTAAATTTTTGGATTGATTTTTGATAGTGTTCGAAATTAACGGGCCCAAGTTATAGGACAAGATCTGATGAAGTACGGTGAACGTATGGATGTAGGAGTGGGGAAGTGTATATTGTGAGTAATCAACGAAGTAAAGACAAAGTGTAAATGGTTTGCCTTAACCAAGACATCAAAGTTACATCCACTGCAAGAGAAACTCTTGCTCTTTGAGAATTGTATTATTTGAGAGAGATGATAATTGTTACAGAGAGTTAGACTCGAAGACGTTACAAAGTATTGCTTGATTCTCTCTCTCTCTCTTTTTAGTTTCCAGGTTGCTTCTCTCGTGCAATGTAGCACCCTTCATTATTTATACTACTAATGGTTAAGGTTTTACGTTTGTCCTTCTTAGGTGATCCTGTGATCTCCTCTGTCTCTGTATTTATCTTGACGATGTGGTCCCCAGAACATTTCTATATCTACTACTCACAGTTTGTTGTACTTGATCCGTCTCTACCAACTGTGAGTTTCAATTCAGTAGAGCCATTAGACAGTGTTCTCTTGTCCCTTATTCACGTGTCATGTAACAGCTTTTTAGGTTTATCTTGTACCGTGTTCTCACATCCTGAGTTGGTATAGGTACTAGTAAATGGGCAGTCTTAATGGGCTTCTTGGCCGCTTCCTGTCAATGCACAGGGTCTTGGGCTCTAAGGGGATCCAGACTTTAAACCGATCATTATCGTTAACCTAAATTTGCTAATGTATCCGATTGTTATCTTCTAATGAATAATAAGCATGTACATTGAATGGAATTCACTCTGAATCTAACTACAACAATAAATTAGATGAACAAAATGTGTAAAATAGTACTATTGGGACGTTTTGTCAATGTATATGAGAGGGACTTACGATTTTTTTTTTTATAATTGCAGAAAATAAATGATTGTTTACCGAATTAGATTACTTGCAAAGTAATTTAATTAGTTGGTTTTCTTTAATCAGAATTGATGATGGCTTGTACAATCTACCTATACTAACATGTGGTGATGTGTACTAATTGCGAACTACCTTAAATCATACTAAGTTAGGTTCATGCCTAATTTTCGAAACTTCCACTCTCTCTTTAAGTCCAAAGAAATCCCCGGGGAATGCCAAGACCTGGTAGTGAATCTATTTCTATTAACAATCGTTAAATTTTATCAGCAGTTGATCGAGAATTTATGGCTGTTATTGAAAGGATCACTGAGAGCCTGGATTCATGTTATTAGGGGAAGCTGAATTGTAATGTACATGCTGCATATATACACCATTAACATGTTCTACCACCAAATATCCATGAAGTGTTTTCACCACCATCAGTTTTATTAAGCAATAATGATTACCAGAAAACAGTGGTCTGCAGTATTTATTGCAAGCAAAACAACCCTTCTCTTCTCCTTTTCATCTCTAAAAACAGCATCAACCTCTATAAGAAACACGCACAGGAAGCAACATAAAGTGCACCACAGGTTGTTGATTCCGAAGAGGAAGATATCATTATATTGGAGTCAAACCAACCACACCTGTAATTTGCAAATACGTTTTACAATATGAAAAAACCGGAAGGATTCAAACTAAAAAAAAATGTAGAAAACCTAATTAAAGATTTTACACGCAGCACAGATATTTGTACTAAAATGACAGCAATTGTCTAAATTAAGTTTAATAGTCAAATTGGTATGATGCACAAACAACACACTAACCACCTTATATGCGGACTTTAGCCACTACAATATAACACCTAAGCCCACAAGAACTAAGGCCACAGCAGGTAATCTGGTTATACGAGAATTCTCTTCGCACTTCAGAGCTAGAATAGCAAGTACCATCAGGATATGCTTACGTAGCATGATTTGAGACATTACATTCCAATTATGGCCAGGATACCGAATGTGAAAATATTCGAAAATCAAAAAGGACTTCCCAAAATCAGAGCTTGTATAGAATTTAGAGACTTCACTTTACCCCGTGTTTAATCTTCTTTATATTTATATTTGAACTGGAACACAGGTATGTTCCATGCCACTTCACATATTAGGCAGTTGTCTCACACACATTGTCTAATTCAACAGAAATTTTAACCGTAGCACTTTGACCAAAAATCACCTAATGCTTATGTGGTTAGTTTCAAATGCAAGGGGTTAAAGTATAATGGAGCATAACCACAAAGGTTTAAAGCAAAGTTAGCTGTAGAATTCATATATGAGCAGGTGGAAACAAGTTGAAGAGTTTGAGCATTTTAGCGTTTCCTAGTAAGATGTTTAAAGTTTGGTGAGCAAACACGAAGGAAGATCATATGCAAAAGCATTTTCAGGAGAACAAATGGCAAAGGCTTGCTGCCAAGATTACAAAGTTTGAGTGAACAATGCATTACAAGAAAATATTAGAAAAAGGGTATTTGATCGAACATTGATAAATACGAAAATCAATTTTGACATACAACTGTAGGCATCTGGGTATTAGCAGTATGGTGAGATGTTTTCATCCACCTATTTAGGCATTGCTTCCGGAAGACAACACTTGAGCTCTTTTAAGGCATCATCATCAAAAGATTGAGCAAAACACAATTATTACTCATCCCTTTACAAACATTTCTAGTCACAGTTTGAAGAACTTATGCCAGTGCGTTCTATTACAATAATGTTTCTTCAACAAGAGTACACAGGTGGAAATATTCTACGACATACCATAGCGTTCGACATGATCATCTTGGTTCTACCATTGCCAAATATATCTTACATAATACTTGAGTTTTTTTATACTTCTACCTGGTCAAATTTAAATCATTGTTAAAGACTTAATTTTGACTTGTGTAATTCAGTCCAATTCAGCTCCATTCAGCGGAATAATGAAAGACAATCAAAAACACAAACATAACTAGGTTTTAATTTTTAACTCACTTAACAAGTAAGTACTCAACTGGGTAAACCTAACCAGAAGTTACACCGTCCAAGAATCTTACATGTGACATTTATTTCTTCGTGTATAGGATTAATCTTGTGTCTCAAGTGCTATTTATATGTAGAGTTTGTAATGTTCATAAATCATACCTAAGAGCCAAGAATTTTGCTCAGGGTGGACACTTTAATTATGCACTCTAATTTTTTTCCTTTTAACCAATCACACTATATAACATATTTATATTTGTTATATTATTTTTGATATATGAAGTCCATTTAACATAAAAAATTCCAAAAAAAAAAATGTATATTGCCAGAGGCGGAACCATGAATATCTATGATAGAGGCAAAATATAACTGACATAAAAAAATATTAAGCCGAAATTAATACAAAAAAATTCAGTTCAAGAATAAAAAAAATGTAAGAATCAACACTAAATTATTGTGAAATAGTAAATTCAATTTTTATTTAGCCGAAACAAAATCTTAACAAAAAGACATAAAATAATTTTTTTAGTACTTTTTAACCTAATTATATATTTCAATAAAATAAAAAAAATTTAAAAATTTCTAAAATTTTTTGTATATAAATTAAATGTAAATTAATTTTCATATTTTATTAGGCTATAAACTACTATTACTAAAAAAAATGGTAAATGAAAACTAAAAATTATTCTTAAAAAGTAACGAACATTGTGTTAGATAAAGAGAAATAATATATTTTCGTCAATATACAAATAAAACATTGACTCAATCCAAAACTAACATATTTATTTTAGAGTGTTAGTTGTCCACTAATTTATTAAAAAAAAAAGACTAGAATTATTATTAAAATTTCTAAAAATTTAGGGGGTAAATATAATATATAAAATAATTTTATAGGTTAGTGCAAAGAAGGACAAAAAAACTCAAGGAACTGAGTTTCTCGTGTGTGGAGTTTTTTTCTTTTTCTTCTATTTTTTTTTGTAGCTGGGCAGTTGGAAGTGAGTGATACAGAGAGAAAAAAAAATGAGAGATAAGATAGGTTTTAGTCAAGTGGGCTAAAAGTTTTATTTTTTAATGATGGTGGGCTAAAAGTTTTGTTTTAATGTTGGGCCAAAAATTTTGTTTTTAATATTGGGCTAAAAGTTTTGTTTTTTTAATAAGTTTGGGTGGATTGTGATGGGTCAAATATTTGATTTTTTAATAAATTTAGATAGATAGTAGTGAGTTCAATTTTTTTTATTTTAAATGGACTTAATTGTTTAATTATTTTGGGTAAATAATGTGGGCCTAATATAAATGAGGGAAGAACACATAATATATATGTATAAATATATAATACATATATCCAACTAATAAAAAAAAAATTGAGTGGGGGAACGTGCCCACCCTGGCCCCTACCTCCCTCCGCCCATGGTAGTCAATATTTTCAAATTTGTTGTTAGACAGTAAAATAAAATAATTTCAGACATAGTGATAAACATTCACAAATACATAACCTAATTTTTGAATGTGGATTACATATATTTTCTTCTACAAGTTTCCAATGAATGTGGATTTCATATTTTTTTCAAAGTAAATTTCAACTAATAAACTATCCTTCTGAGTTATACATGATATGAATGAATCAAATAAACACAGAGCATTAGATTTCGAGGAAAGCAGATGCAAGAAAAAGCAATGAATGAGCCTTAAACAATACTAATCCTTACCACATGCCAGTCGTCCACCAGCATTCCCGGTGCTAAGGCTAAGTTCATGACCACCTGCAAATTGACAACCAAAAGGGGGTGAATCAAGAACTGTTTAATAATAATGGGCATATAAATGGAGGCACAAATTAAACTAAGGGTAATATTAAAAGTTTCCATCTCGTGTCAGTAAGTTTAGACAACTACAGGACTGAAATTCAAACATATTATGTACAAGTATTTACCCTTTCCAAGGTCATCCTCAAGCTCATGAACCACTAAGGCTCTTCCGACGACTGAGTTCGGACCATCCAATGGTATCTGCACAAGTCAGTCCAAATAAATACCCGTCAATGAAGAATCAAACATACGTGATAGTTAAACACACACACAGATACATATGGCATGAAGCAGTACCTGGTTATCCACGATTGTGGCCTCAGCCACCCCTGCATCACATATCACCAAAAATAGAGTAAAAAGATCACCTAAAGCTTTTGGCGATTAAATTGAAGAAATAAACAAATTAAAAGTGCATTACCATCAGCGTTGGCAACTATGTTTCCCAGGTCACCCGCATGACGAATTTCGTCCTCAGGAGCTCCATGAGTCAAACCATTGGGATTGAAATGTGCTCCTATTACATAACAATCGAACCCAAAATCCCAAAGTAACACCAAACAATATGAGAATTAAACTTTTTATCAACCAAAACGCAGTAATAACCCAACCTCATACAAAATCAAACTTGAAGTTTAAGTTTAAGCAAATGCAACCTGTTGAAATACACCCATTTGTTGTATCACCAAATTCATGCTACACAATTAACCAACAAAAAATTTGAACAAAATGAATATCAGAATTTCACATATGATTCATAATTACTCCAAAAATTAACAAACATTAGTATGGTGATGATACTCACGAGATGAAACCCATGAAGTCCGGGAGTCAGTCCAGTGACCCGAACATTCACAGTTGTTGGGCCTATCACAGTTTTTGGAATTTCAGCTCATATACGTAGATATACAATTAGGAATATCTGTGTAGACATTAATATCTGGAAAAAGTTCGAGAGAGAAGGGGGGGAGAAACCTCCATCGTCTTGGGAGAGGGTGACGACGCCTTCCACATTGGAGGCGCCCTTGAGGACGGCGACGGCTTTCTTGGTGGCGGCTACGACGGTGAAGGATTTTCGTTGGGTGGCAGAAGTGGCGGCGGTAAGAATTAAAGATCTACGAGTAAGTTTGAGTGAGAGGCCGTGGAATGAAGTGTGGACTGGTGGTGATGGGCTAGGGTTTGAGAGTAGACAGAGGGGAGAACGGGAGGGGGTCGAGGAGAGGATGGTATGAGCGGCCATAGCTGCTAGTGTGCTGATTGGATTATTGGGTGAGAGGCCTGAGACGAAGAGGAGGAGATAATTTTTTGTGCCCACCTCTGCTTCTGGGTTTTCTTAGCGCTCTCTCTCTCTCTCTCACTCTCGTGTTCTGGGTTTTTCTTCTTTTTTTTTTCTGTTTTTTTTTTTTTAAATTGAGATTTAGAGAAAACAGAGGTGCAAATCAATATAATCAAGCATCAACGTCTTATATTAGTAATAAGTGCGTTTTCAATTGTATTTTCTAAAAAAGAAGCATTTTTTTAAAATAACAAGCATCTTTAATAAAAAAAAATTAAAATTGATTGTGTAAAATTAAGTAAAAATGTGAAAGAACTGTTAATTTTAACAATTAAATAGGTAATAGATCCTAATAAATGTTGGAACCTAGAGTGAAATCAATAGTTATAATTATGAAGTTTAATTTTTAAACTTACTTTTTAAATTCATGTAACATTGTTCAACTACAAAATGATGCAAATTTAGTTGCATGGTTTGAGATCGTGTGTGTGTGTGTGTGTGTGTGTGTGTGTGTGTGTGTGTGTGTGTGTGTGTGTGTGTGTGTGTGTGGGTGATTAATTCTAAATTCAAAGCTGAAGAGCTCTTTGTCATTGTAGCAAATATAAAAGCTCAAAGAATTGAAATGACACAAAATATTCAAATAGTTCACTAGGTTAAAAATTTTGTCTAGTCTACTCTAATAAAGATTTTTATTCTCTGATTTATGTTGTTTAAAGAATAAAATTGTTACAATGAGATTTTTAGATTTATTTCTTAAGGATATATCAATAGGGGAGTGAGCAAGGGCGGACCTACAAGTGGGCTAAGTTAGGCTGAAGCCCAGAATAAAAAAAAAAGAATTTATCATTAAGTACCAGCCCACCCCTAAAAAAATCTCATTCAACCCAACCCACCCACAAAGCTTCCCCAAAATCAGTCGATCTATGTCTTCTCTTAGTCACTTCCCCTTCCCCAAAACCAGTCGATCTCTCTCTTCTCTCAGTCATTTCCCCTAAAATTAGTCGGTCTCTCTCAGTTTCTTCTCTCTTAGACGGTCTCTCAGTCACCTCCTCCCATCCCTCTTCAGCACAAACACCATCCGAATAAGATTTTGAAGACTTCGGTGGTTGAGAAAGTCGATCAATCGCGCCCGAAGATTTTGACTCTCTCGTCTCCGGTACAGGAGAGTGTTGATCAGAGTGATATGGAGATGGTTGGGGGATTTCTAAAGAATTGTTACCATTGCAAGAAGAAGATTCTTGAAGATGCTGAAGTTTTCATGTATGGGTAGGGTTTTTCCACTCTTCTTTGTTCCTTTTTTTTTTTTTACTTATTTGTGCATTTTGAACTCCATTATTTTTTGAATTTGATTCAATTAATTTACGTTTATGCTTCGTCTGATTAATTTCAATCTAGCTATTGGTCCAGTCTCAATAGCCTCTCTTTGTCATGGGCACAATACTTAGTGAGGCGGTTTCTTATACTGAGGAGCCTATTCTTTATCTTCAATTGACTTTCACTGCTACTTTCTTTGCTGGTTTATTTTAGGCTGCTTTGGGTTTTCTAAGGTATAAACAATTAGTTGCAATCTAAACTTAGTATTGTGGATCTTTTTTTTATGTTCAATATCTATTTTGCTTTATGAGGATTGATGGAATTTTTTTTTACAAATGGATATTACTTTCTCAATAAAGCCAAAAGGAAACACCTTTTGTGAAAGATATGTCTTTTGGTATAATTTATAACTGTAAATCATAAAAAGCTTTAGAATTAGAACAATGGTTATGTCCGAGAGTAACACCTCTAAGATGAAATTATTAGTACCGGTATGATTGGAAAGGAAACAAGTGGGCTTAAAGAATCAATGTAGTAGTTTTGTAAATCTAATTTCACTACTATCTTGATTCTGTTGATCAATGTTTTGGGTGAGGCTCTGAATCTATATTGAATGTGTATTCGGTGATTTATAGGTTAGGATTTGTGATTGATTTTCTCTCCAAGGCAACTCTTGTTGGGTTCATCGCTGGTGTGGCAATCATAGTTTCATTGCAACAACTGAAAGAGTTGCTCGGGATAGTTCACTTCACCACCAAGATGCAGATAATTGTTGTTCTATCTTCTATTTTACAGCAAAAAGATGAGGTAAGAAGCTTCACTAAACATTTTTTGATTCGAAAAATTGTGCAGAAAGGTCATTTAGCTAAGGTGTTGCTTTTGTTGCCCTTTGTGAGTAGTTTCATTTTGCATACAAATGCGGAAAGTACTTTGAAAATCACAAATATCTGGTGGTTAAAGTTTTAGGAGTGACTCGCAATTTAGTTAATCTATATAGCTCAACAGTTCAAAATTGTTCCTAATAGGATTACAAACAGTTTTTATTTGGAGAAATCAAAAAGCTTTCTCTTGAGACTGATAGAGACCTATCTAATAAACTGAGAATTTTTACTGTCATTTCATATTTTATTAGTCATATGAATACTTAGTTTAGATCAGAATAAACAAAAAATCCTGGCTCCGGCATTGAGAATAAGCTTTTATCCTTGTTCAAGATTGCATAGTCCCCTCAATCGGTTAGAATCATTTGAAAAATACCTTTCCGTTAGAATATTTCTGACAGTGCTCCACGCGTGTTTCTAGAAACAATGTGATGTCATCCGAGGGCTAAACTCTAGAGGTCATGGGATCAGCTGGTTGAGTAGTGTTTGGTGGTCTGTAAGACTGTTCCTCTAGAGTAACTTCTTGTAGGTAATAAGTCAGCTCGGGCGGTTTTTAGAAAAGAGTGGCATTATATGATGCCGAGCTTAAATTTTTGCATTAAGGAAGTCATGCTGCTTATTTGTTGCTTTATCTCTGATTTTTTAGGCCTGGCTGTTCGATGTAGAGCTGCGATGAGTAAATAATGGATTGTTAATCATGGTATCATAAAAAAAAATAGTAAAATTTTATATACTTCTCCGTTAGGACTATTTATTCTTATCAAGTTATTATTTTATATTTTAATCTTTTTAGGAATAAATTTGACTTTCCTCATTTTTTTTCCTCCTTTTCAGCATTAAGACATGTGTTATCATAAATGTCTTGGATGAAAAAGATAAATATATCATTTTTTTTTGTTCTAAAAAAATAGTGTAAATAGTGAGGTTGACTCTCCAAATGTGGAGAGTAAAATTGGACTATTTATTTTTGATAAGAAATTGAGTGGGAATAGAGAGTCTTTTGAAAATAAAGATAGAGGATTGAGTGAAAATAGAGAACTTATTCTTAATTTTGGCTCTTTAAAATAAAGAGTTAAATTTAACTCTACACATCCATCCACCAAAATGGACGAATCGCCACGTGGTATGGCCATGATTTTCAAACACCTATCACTCAAACGAAATGCTCTTGAAGATGGAATCCACATCCGTCCACCAAAATTCTATAGGAAATAAGATGGCAGTATTTCTGAACTACCTACACCCGCAGAGGATCATAACCCATCTGAAGAACATCAGACCTCCCTTCCTGCTGAGACAATTCTCCCAACAGAGCCTCATCAGTCTACTCATCAGGTTGTTAAGACAAATGAACCCAATGCTCAAGCCAACACTGACCAACACCAAACTCCAACTTCTAACCCAACTCATCCTTTTCAAAAGAAACCTTTCAGGAAGTTCAAATGTGAGAAAATCATCAAGGAAACCACACAAATTAGAACATCTATTCGTCAAGAGATACAAGTCCAATTAATAGAGGAAACCATTTCAATGGCTGAGAAGGCGGGCTTGACCATGCCCCCGTCGTCACCATGATAGAATATATATGGAATTGTCGAGGGCTAGGCCAAGCCTCGACAATTCACCATTTGAAGGCCCAAATAAGGGAATATAACCCATATTTCATCTTTCTCTCGGAAACTAAAATTTCTTCAGAAAAAACCAAAAAAATTATGCTCAACCTTGGTTTCTAAAAATTTGAGATACAAGGCTCCAAAGGATTATCTGGGGGAATCTGTTTATGCTGGAGGAAAGGAGTTGAACTTGAAGTGGTATTATCACACCAGAGCCTCATTTTAGCAATTATCTCATCGGATCCTCCAGAAACAAGATGGTTGTTGAATAGTATCTATGCTCCCGCAAATAAAAGACTACAACCTGCTCTCTGGGACTCGATGAATCAAATTCTCACTAATAGCCCATGGTCAAGCATGTTTATAGAAGATTTCAACAATGTGACCTCTCAATAAAAGAAGAAAGGGGGGAGGTCCTTTGCATCCTCATCAAATGGAGGCTTTGACTCCTTCATAAATGACCAAGTTTTAGTTGATATTGGCTACCACGATAATCCTTTCACATGGTCCAATAAACGCCATGGCCTTGCAAACATTAAGGAAAGGTTAGATATAGGACTAGTTACTCTGGGATGGAGGATGTTTTTTCCTCGTGCAGTCATCCAACACTTACTAGCCATTTCTTCTGATCACTCACCCCTCCTCTTGAATACATCTGGAAATCCTCAATTTTTTTATAAACCTTTCAAATTCGAGAAGATGTGGATAAGAGACCCTGGCAGCCATCAAGTGGTTAAAAGTACATGAAAAACTAACAAGAGAGGATCAATTGCATACAGATTCTGCAGGAAGCTACAAGCAACTAAAGTGGCGTTAAAGTATTGGAATAGACAACAATTTGGCAATTGCATCCAAAAAGCAAAGGAGCTAACAAGAAGAATTGATCAACTGCAGCAAGTTGAACCAACTGAAGATCATATACCGGAGGAAAAAATATTACAACATGACCTAAATGAACAACTTAGAAGGGAGGAAGAGATGTGGAAACAATGATCAAGAATACAGTGGACGAAAGAAGGGGATGCACATACTAAATTCTTCCACACAACCACAGTTATTAGATACAGAAGGAATTCAATTGACTGCTTGAAACTCCCCATGGAACATGGTCCACAGGAAGGGAATCCATTGGTAATCAGTTTCTGCACTATTTTCAAACTCTTTTCACAATATTCAATCCCCAATTTCCCCCACAACTAGAGGACCTCATAGCACCTGTAGTCACCCTTGATTAGTATCCTGAACTTTGTGCTATTCCATCACCAGAAGAGATCAAAGTCACTCTTTTTGCAATGCCTTCTACCAAGGCCCCTGGACCTGATGGTATGTCTGCCATTTTTTATAAAACATATTGGCATATCATAGGAGGGGATCTCGTTGATATGATCAAAGCTTTTTTTGTTGGAGGTCACATGTTAACCGAACTTAATAGAACCAATATTTGTCTCATAACCAAATCCATCAAAGCCAGCACCATTCATCAGAATAGGCCAATTAGCTTGTATAATGTGGCCTATAAAATCATTACCAATAGGATTAGACCTTACCTAGACCAAGTCATTTCTCCAAACCAAACTGCATTTGTCCCAGGTAGAGGTACAGTAGAGAACACCATTTTGGCCCAAGAATTGGTACACCAATTCAAAAGGGAAAAAGGGAAAGGGGCTTTGATGATGATCAAAATCGACATTGCCAAAGCTTTTGACAAAGTTGAATGGCCTTTCCTTTTGCAAGTCCTCAAACTGCTTGGCTTTCCACCTGAATTTACCAACCTGATTGAACAATGCATCTCCACAGCCTCATTCTCAATTCTGATTAATGGAGGCCCCATTGGAAACTTTCATGCGTAAAGAGGTCTTAGACAGTGTGACCCCTTCTCACCCTCACTTTTTGTTAATTGCACTGAAATTCTGTCTAAATTGCTACACAGGGAAGCATTATTGGAGAATCTCAAAGGCATCAATATCTCCAGGAGCTGTGAACCTATTAGCCATCTCATGTTTGCAGATGACCTCCTCATCTTGCAAAAGAAACTACAAAGGAAGCTATAGCTATCAAGCACTATCTCTTAACATATGCTCAATGGTCTAGACAAGAGATTAACTGTGAGAAATTCAGAGTGCACTATAGCCCAAATGCTCATCATTCAATAATTAGACCTATCAAGCAGATTCTAAGGATAAGGAAAGGACCTCTAGAAGCAACTTACTTGGGACTACCTGTCTTCATCAATAGATCCAGAACAAGCTCCTTCCACCCAGCTCTACAAAAAATTGAGATGAAGCTGCAGGGTTGGAAAGCCAAATTACTCTCCTATGCAGGGAAATCAACTTTGATAAAGACAACTGCTCTAGCAATGCCCATTTATGCCATGCAGTCTTTTCTACTGCCACATAACATTTGCAACAAGATGGATAGAACAATTAAGAATTCTCGGTGGGGACACACTGATGAGAAACATGCTCTAAATCTGAAATCTTGGGATTCATTATGTTTACCAAAGGAAATTGGAGCACTAGGGTTCAAAAGGACTGCTAATATAAACAAAACATTAATGGCCAAGCTAGGATGACAATTAATTTCTAACACCAACAAACTATGGACTACTCAGCTTAGAAGGAAATATTGCTCCAGAAGTTCATTTTTTTACACTTGTAAACAACCACATGATTCCCAAATCTGGAAGCAAATATTAGATTGTAGATCCATCATTGAACAAGGTGCTTGCTACATTGTGGGGAATGGCCAGTCCATAAACATCTGGACTGAACCTTGGGTGCTTAATTTGCCAACATTCAGAGTTCATTTGTAGCAAGAGTCAGAGAGCCTCCCCAGCCTTGTATCTGAGCTAATAGATCGGGATACCAACAGCTAGAACTTAACATTGTTGTCCTCACTATTCAGTCAAGAAGTCACATAAGCTATACAAAGAATACATATCCCAATTTTACAGGGAGAAGACAAGCTAATGTGGATTCCAAATAAGAATGGAGATTTTGACTGCAAATCTACTTATAGAACTCATAGATCTATATAGTACTTACAAGCTCTTACCTAACAGAAAGTGACTGGAGAAGATTATGGCAGGCACCAATCCATGAGAGGCATAAAATATTTTTGTGGAGAATGACTGCAGAATGCCTACATACCCGAACATTACTAGCTAGCAGATTTCCTATACCAGACATACTCTGCCCCATATGCCACCAATGTCCATAAACTGCAACCCATCTGTTTTTCCTCTGCCCCTTACCCAGGATGGTTTGGTTCACAAAATGGGGACTTCGCACAGATTCCTTATCTCATCTTAGTCTACAAGAATGGATTCAAAACATTCTCCATCCTACAATCATTTTTGGACCTAATAGCCCCCCTTGCAATGAACTGCTGCTCTTCACAACTACTTTAGCCTGTAGTATCTGGACTTGGAGGAATAAAGCTCTCCACGACAAGCAGTTAGTCATTCCACATCAATTTCTTCAACAAGTTCTAAATGCTTTTAATGAATTCAATGAGGTTAAACTCCATCCAAAGGTCCCAGCAGCCATGAGCCCATCAGAAACTTGGAAAACTCCACACGAAGGATTTATAAAGATTAATATTAATACAGCAGTGGGAAATAGGAAATCATGTGTTGCAACAATTGCTCAACTACAAGATGGCTTAGTTTTAGGAAGTATACTAGGGATTGTGGCAGAAACAGACCCCTGATAGTAGAGGCTCTAGCTGCAAGGGAAGCAGTGAAATGGGCTAATGATAAGCAATGTTCTTATGTGCTCATAGAAGGAGACTCACAAAACGTTGTTCACTCTATCATGCTTTCTCATCTCAAACCTCACTAGGCTGTGAGCTCCATCACACAAGATATTAAGGGCATTCTTCATCAACATCCAGAGTGGGAATTTGGTCATACACGCAGGACTGCAAATGGTGCAGCGCATGAACTAGCAAAATGGGGCCTTGTTATGGGCTATACTGGTCCATTGCAATCTGACCAAGTGCGAAACTCAATAAAGAATCAAGTAGAGTTGGATGCATGCCCCATAGACTAGCTTAGAATTACTATTTTTAAATTATTGTCTTTAATTTACTGTATTGCTCTCTTATATCTCAATTTTCAATATCAAAAAAAAAAAAACAAATTAACTCTACACGTTTGGAGTGTTAAACTCAATCTCTACTCTATTTTTTTGGGAACAGAAAAATGATATATGGATAAAATTGTGTGGTCCAAATTTATTTAAAAAAATTTGTATTCCAAATAATGTGTTAAAATCCTATGCATTGAATATTTGGTAAAGTTAGTAGACTCCACTGATCTAAACACACACACTGATTTAGAATACAAAATTTAGTAAATAATTTGTTAAGCATGGCATTGCTGATAATATATTTGTATTTTCGTACAAGACATTTAAGATAAACGTATCGTATTTAAAATAATGGAGAAAAAATAGGAGGAAAGTCAAATTTAATGCCAAAAAGGACAAAAACATAAAACAATAAAAACAGAGAGTCCTATTGGAGTGGTATATAAAAATTTTCTTTCTATTGTCTGTTGGAGATGTTCAAAAGCAATATAAAGCAATTTTTAATCAAATCTCCCACAAAATACATCTTCAATTTGCGCATCAATCTTAATCAACGTTCAATCGTGAGTCCTATTCTCTTAACTTAAGTAGACGAAACCATAGTAACATAGTATTGGCCACTCCAATTGATGGTTGAAATTCTGGTTATCATTCCTTACACCGATGAATTGTTGCCCTAGGAGCCATAGGCCTTCACTAAGTATCCTCATTGTATCTTTTTCCAACTAAAAGCGAGCAACATGAAAGCCTTCTTCCATAGCTATGCATTCCATTTTTTGCTTATGGCAGCCAATTTGTCAATTAAGTACTTATTATTTATAATATAAAAACATATTCAATACTTTAAGGATTAAAATAATACAATTAAAAT